AGAAATGAATGGATGGACAGAAAAGCAGAAAGCAGTATATCTGGCAATGAACTTGAAAGGACAACCACTGGAAATACTTGGACAGTTGTCAACAGACGACAGACACAACTATAGAACACTGGTAGTGGCTCTAGAACTCAGGTACGGAACCCAAAACCAGTCAGAAGTCTACAGGGCTAGGTTTAGGACGAGAGTTCGTGCTAAAGGGGAGAGCCTGCAAGAGCTGGCACAAGACTTGGAAAGCATGGCACACGAGGCCTACCCAACTGCACCACCCAATCTCTTCAAGTTGTTGCTGAGAGATCAGTTTGTAGATGCCTTGGACAGTCCACAACTAAAGATACAAGTGAAGCAAGCACACCCCTCTACTATGCAGGATGCAATGGCCAGAGCTCTCGAATTTAAATCCTTGGTACAGTCGTCAGGATTCAAGGCCAGAAAAGGTCAGCTTTCAGAGAAGTTTGAGGGACTTTGCTGGCACTGTAACAAACCTGAGCACAAGAGAGCCCAATGCTGGCAACTTCAACACATGGAAGATGCCACAGTAGGAAAGGCTGCTACCCAGAAAGGCTGTTGGAACTGTGAAAAGCACGGACATTTGAGGAGCCAGTGTAGGAGGAATATTATCAACAAGTCAGCCTCAAGGAGACCAGTAGTGGTTGGTGTTGAGGGACGTTCACCAACCCCCATCGTGAAAGTCCCAACAACTAAGTGTAAAATGGCAAGCACACACAGCATCTATGTGACAGGAAAGCTGTGTTACGTCTCCGTTTGTTAATTGATTTTCCGTAACTTCGTTCCGACGAAACTTAAGCGACACAAGTCTTTACTTAATAAAACTGGTTTATTCTTTCCGAATATAACTCTGCGATACACTTAATCTCAATACTCGCGCTAAAACAAATACTATAACGAACGAACGTTAACTTCAACAATACCCCGTGACTGCAGTTCAATTACTCACTATCTTCACACACACATTACCTTCCCCTCTTTTATATACCAGCCTACCCTATATCTAGTAAGAACTAGAACATTCGCCAAAGTACATGATAGTTCTAGAAACGTTGCGTCACAGTAGTCATGTGACTCGATGACGCAACAGCTGGATGGCCAAAGGTGCAACTTTGTCATAGACTCTGCATCTCAGCAAACCCTTGTGAGCATCAAGGTGT